TATTTTTCCTTTTANCAGACAAACACCCTAGGATTGTCACGAATCCAATGGACATTTTCTATAATAAAATAAGACATTTATTTAAAGTCATTTTCTAAAATAAAAAAGTTTCCACGTGTACTAGTATTGGGATTTCCATGACGCAGAAAACATGGCAGCAGAGTATAGTAGAATACAGCATACGCTGACAGAAAACATCCCCGCGTAATATAACAAAGAACATCACAGCATACTATGCTGGAATAAAATAACTGTAAAAATATGTCAGCATACTATAAAGAGAAACATAACAACATACTATAAGTATAATAGAAAACATGACAAAACACTATAACAAGAAATATAACAACATACTTTAATGCAGAAGATAACATACTAAAGAAACGCATAACGACACACTATAACAAAAACACATGACCGTACTATAGCAGGTAACGATAAACTGTAACAGAAAACATGACAACATTCTTTGATGAAATGATAGTGCATACAGAATTAAACAAATTGCATTTGGTTTCACGTTAAGTTAAAGTAAAGTGCCACACTAGAAAGACCTTAACACCTTACCTTGACTATTGCATCTGATGCAATGATTCAGTCATCAGTAAGTGACACGTTTACTGGGGTAACCAGCCAATCATATCGAGTATTGGCTGACGTTGGCACTAAATCAACAATTACCTACCATGGCGAATGTGCAGGAGTTCACAAATAAAGGAAGAAAAGAAAGTATTTCTCTGGTGGAGGGGAGTATAGAGGTCCTCCTGATAGCCATGAGACATGACATGTCTTGACAGACTGTATTCTTGACCTCAATGACCATGTTTAATTTTAGCCATTTACTCCAGAATATATATGATCGATATTGTTACACTTATCTATTTTCTATATAGTAAAATGAGAAGGTCTGCAGCCGTACGTGTAGCTGATACAGGGGTTCATGGCTGACCGTTTGGGTAATTTATTTTTTGGTCGATTAAGCGTGCTACATTCATCAACTTTTTCATATGCGTTTTTTATTAACCTCCTATTATTTGGTAAAATGACATTGGTAGAGTTATTTTCGTTTTCTAATAAAAAAAATAGCAGTTTATACAAGTCCTTCCCAAGAAGATTACAAACGTGGACATAGTACAGTTTATCATTTGGATATTGCTATCCCACGGTATTTTATAAGCGCATTGTACGGTAAGGGTTAGACTGGTTGTCCTCATTGTCAGAACGTGATGTTGTTGTCTGCTTATTTCATCCATGTCATTTGAATGAACTTTCTCTGAAATGACAAACCCTTTTTATCAAACCACTGTCACGACAAATGACAATTAAAATGTAATTATGTTTTATACTGGGAATAGAAACTTAACGTCAACCAGCATTCGGAACTGTCAAAAATATAGATTGTAAAGGACAAACAAGTTTTTTCTATCAGAATTAATCAAACCATAAAAAGCATTTGCTGATGCTTTTCAATTTCAGTTGGGTTTATCTTTGAAGCCCTACATGAAACCAAAACAATATTTTTGACAGTAAGTTATTTTTGCCAGTTTCATTCATTCTTTGTTTCAAATTCATCCAAACTAATCATGTCGTCGCCATTTTTGTCTTTCTCCGTGAATTCAGCGTGAATGTCCTCAGATCTTGTGTTTCTGTTCAGGTTCATTGCAGCACGAATGTATTCCTCTCTGGACAGCTGCTCATTTCTGTAAAAAATGGTTTGTAATCAAAATATGATATTTATTTCTACTGAAGCTCGTGTCTTAATGGCTTATGGTTACTTCACATTGAAACATAGCAATAAGAACACGACGCGAATAATTTTGACGTTAAAATTTATGATAAATCTGAAATGACGGTAACCACCTGTTAAAATATAGCATATTAAATGCTAATATAAACACATTCTTTGTTGTGTAGAATTACAACGCTTCAGATCTACAACTAAATATACTCTTATTCGTTGTTTTCAAATCATAATTATGAAGGGAATCCACCTTTATCCTGTATGTAACTAAACAAAACTCCATCTACACTGATCACTTACCTGTCTGTATCAGTGTTACTGAATACTACACTAGCGTCAATGCTGTAATCTACACCTACATCACTTACCTGTTTGTATCAGTGTTGCTGAATACTACACTAGGGTCAATGCTGTAATCCACACCTACATCACTTACCTGTCTGTATCAGTGTTACTGAATACTACACTAGGGTCAATGCTATAATCTTGATCTTCACCCGCGGACCTCTTGCCTGTACGATAGCAAGTGCAACGGCTCCTTAATAGAATATATTTGTTACATATACACAGAGCGTGGATTCCAAGTATACATGTAAACCCTTAAACCACATCCATTATTTTTATACGAATGAAATCTTCCAGAAGTAGTTTTAAAACTACACCTCCTTCAAATGTTTGGTTGTAAATTGCCCTATATATTATTTTTCCTTTTATTTATTTATTTATTTTTTTTTTGGGGGGGGGGTGTAGCAAAAACATTTAAGATAATTTGTCTACCATTTGACCTCGCAGTATGCCAATTCCTTTGACGTCTATTCTTTTGCAAATCTAATGTTACATATACACAGCATTCACAGCATATAAATCACAACTTCTTGTGTCTTATACGACCATTATCTTCCAAAAGTGCACTTTGATCTATTGTTTGGTGGTAAATTATTCTATTTATGCATCCCTCCAGTTCTTAAAAGTCCCATAAATGACGTAACATTGTACGCACATTACATAGTCATCACTCTCACACCAATGTATGGATGTACATGTATAGCTGGGCAAGAGTTCGCATATATATTCAAATGAGACTGCCAAGGGATGTTTATAGCACGTACAGAGAGCAAGAAATATCCATTAAAATATCATTTCTCGTACAGATGAAACGATGGCCTTTGGTATTTCTCTTAGTTATAGAATATGAATATTATATGATTTTTATATTAAAATATTTTTTGGGGGTGGGGGTATGTGTATCGAAAATAATTAACATAATTTGGTGACAATTTGACTGTGCAGTGTGCCAATTCTTTTGATTTCCTTTTTTAGCTCAACAAATATCAAAGCTATGATGCTCAATAATAGATTTTAACTTTTTTCAAGTCTTCATTTTCAAAGAAGTTGTTCAATTAACACCGGTTCATATTCAATGAAAAAACAAATTGTTCATTGTGCATACAAATTAAACGCAATATACGTTGGAAAAATACTTCTTACCTCCAAAATCCTGTAACTGTCAATTTTGAACAACCAGATCTGCAGCCTCCTTCGCAGTTGCACAGAAGATGGTCGCAGCTTCCTACTCCACAGTGATTCCACGTCTAAAACAAAGAATTGTCATGTCTTGTTTGACAGGTCAATATCTTACCCGACGAAAGCATATTTAAAAGAAACCAACTGAACATGCTGTCCAGTAGAATATCAATATTCAAAAGGGTCCATTTTGTTAAACAAAACAATGGGTATTTGAGATATGTACACAACACAGTTATGCTCGTAAGGAGTTAAGGTTGTTTTAGGCACATGCATACAGTAAGGCTGTATTCCCAGAGCTTTTAGATCGATCTATCCCCGCGGGGAGTCTCACTAGATTACTGTCAGATTATCCGGCTTAAATGTCCGTCCCGCCTATTACAAGGTTGAAGCTGTAAGGGTGTAATTAACTTTCGTGAACCCCCAGGGAGTTAGGTCGATCTAAAGTAGATCGATCTAATCTCTGGAAATGGGGTCTAAGAGTACCGGCTTCGGCTGGTATATTTGCATTCCAGAGTAATGCACACAATTGAAAGTCAGGGAAAGCAAAATACTTCTATAATTTGTAATGGTAAAAGGCATCAATCACTTAAGGCAAATGTCATTTAATCTTCAAGTCGACATTCTGGGAGCTAAATGACCACTGACCCGGTCTCTTATTGAAAAAAAAACTTACAAAACTGCAGTCTCCGCAAAAATCACCGATGACCGGGTAGCAGCACACAGCTTCCGCACCTCTGATAACAGCGGACAAACAGGCAGTTGTAGCTACGATTGTAACGAATCCAATATACATTTTCTAAAATAAAAACATTACAAAAGGTCATTTATGAAGTATCTTATTTCTAAAGTAAGAGTTTATATGCTTGCTTGGTGGAATTTTCTTGGCGTATACTAAGTCGACAGCAGAAAACACAGCAGCATCCTACCCTCTACCTCTACCGACAGATTGATTTTTCACAGATAATCACAGACATGTGTCTAGATAAATAGACAGTCATTTGGCTCTCTGTCACCCAGTGATGAAATCTCAAGGCTAATTACATGTCTGGTAATTGTTTGCACAACAACTGCTCAGGCACTACCACTTAACAGGCCCAAGCTAAGTCCCCTTGACAGCAATCAAGACAGTTAATTCCTCTGATTTTAATCATTTTCTCCTCTGTGACAGATAAAAATAGCCCCTTATGAATAGCATGTTACTTCAGATTGAAGTTAACCAAGGAATCTCCTGTAGTAGCTCCCTACAGAGCGGGAACAATACCACATGCGCGCGTGCAGATTTAATTGCTTCTATCTGCCCAAAGTCAAAGGGTGGCTTTTTCCATGTTCCCTATATAATCTGCCATCATGATAGAGGGTAACAGCATCATATAACATTAAACAAAACGGCATACAACATGACAGTACGCTGTGTAATAACGATAGCACCTTGTAGTAATTAAATTTCGTAAGGTTTCGAAACGTGCCACACTAGAAAGACATTAACACCTTACCTTGACAGTATTGTATCTGATGTAATGATTCAGTCAGCAGTAAGTGACACGTGTATTGGGCTAACCAGCCAATCAGATCGAGTATTGGCAGATGTCGGTTCCAAAGCAACAACATATGAGAAGGTCCCGTTTGGGGGATAGTGATCACATTTCACGGGAAATACCGGTAGAATCATCAAATCTCAAATCACCGAAAATAAAACTTTATTCATATTTCATTGTAAATGCGAGTCCGGCGAGTTTAATATCATGAGTAATCGAGTAAAATTACTTCGTTATGAATGTTTCGCACATCACTGGTAACAAAAAAACCCAAAGGATACCTTTATTTCAAAAATCTTGATTTAAATTGAAAATATATTTCTATCCTCAAGTTAATCTAATTATAACAGGGTTTGAATGTGAGATACAGTGCATACAGAATATAGGATCAGCATAAGACATACTATAAGAGCACCCTGAGATATAATGAATTAGTGACACGCTTTAGGAGGTAAATGGCAGACTTACTGCGTAACGTTGACTTAGTTTGCGGTTCTTCAGTTGGACATGTAAACAGTTTACATCATGTGTATTTATTATGATAGAAAGTTTTATTTACAAGATATGCCTCTTTCACTTTTCATGAAAAAGGTAGCTAAATACACATCACTTGACGACAAATCTTAAAGGTAAACTTTACTTAAACAATGCGTAGTTCATAAACCAAGCTTTGGGTATATGTCAGTATTCATTTGTATATACACTAGCTATCCGAAAAAAGTTCGAGTCTTTACTAAAATCACTTTCTGCAAAAAAAAAAATGCATTGGGTGGGGCGAATGAACAATAAAGGACACGCTGTCTCAATCCAGCCTCCAGGCAATGCAAATGCATTATGACGTCACATTCCAAGATACACGTTTGAGGCTTTTAACAACGTGTTTCGATGATGCACTATTTTAGCCAATTGTTCGCCAGATTCCAATGTCCAGAAGTTTTTTTTTTTACTTCACTTTATTCGCACACGGAGCAAGATGTTCATAAGACCACCGTGTACTAATGGCTATAACCATTTTCATGGTCCTCAACATTTGGACACTTTAAAATAGAACATGTTATTGCATGACTTAACTTTGATATAGGCTGCATATGCAGTGGTCTCATCGATATGATGTTAGGAGAATTTGTAAAGATACGACTCATACCAACACTTGCATATATCCGGACATGTAAAAAATCTTCGGCACCACGATATGCAAAACGCTTTCTCCTCAGTATTTCCACGACAAGACGTGTAATGTGATCGAAGAAGGAGGTACTCATTGTGGTCAGTAATACATTGGCATTGATCTTTAGGACATGTACCAGGCGTACGGCAAAGGTTTAGACACTTTAACCAGGAGTGACGTTCACGTTTACTGTCACCAACTGGGACTGGAAAGCACACTTTGGGCTTGCGGCCTTTATCCACATTGGGTTTGGTTCTTGGGGGCACGGTTGTGGTTATTCCATTAGAAGCTGTAGCACCAGTAATGAATATTTCTGCCATAGTTGATGCAGGCACAGGTGAAGTATTGTGGCCTATAGCCTGTGCCGTTGTCACTGTGGACATCCCTGTCAATGATGTGTCTTCGGCCGTGGCTGATATCCCAGTGGTTGTGACAGTGGAAGAGATATCTCCGGGAATTGAAACAGAGGGCGCCACTGAGGAAGGTGTCACTGGGTTTGTTGTTGAGGAAAATATCGCCGCAGTCGTTAATGGCGTTGCATACTCGCTGCTCAACAGTGAGGAGGGATTTGTACTTGATACGGCTGAAGCTGTCGTCGATGGCAGTGTAACAGTACTCCTTACAGATGGTGAAATGGTGGTAGCTTCAGCTTCTCCAGATGCCTTTGAAGAAGTTGTAGTTTGTGCGAATGTTGTTGATGTCGGGTATTCATATATTGTAGACTTAGATGTTGTTGACTCCGACCTCGTTTGTGAGACGCTAATACGAGGTATATCAGGAGTTGACGACACGAGAAGAAGATCATTTAGTGTTGCTGTTGCTAGTGGTGAAGTTCCTGCTCCTTCCTGTATTATAACCTCTGAAGTCGGTACTGCTGCGGTTGAGCTTGTCCTTGTGATCTCTACTGGCGTCCTTGTTGATATTTTTGTTGTTTGCAGTAATGCTGACATTGTTGTCTGTCCAGATGTTGCTGTCGTTGAGATAATAGCTGTTGAGGTGTTCATTGTCGACGCGGTTGGTGTTTTTGTTGTCGTTGACGTCGTCGTCGTTGAAGCAGAAGTTACTGGTAAGGATTGGGTTATAGTTGTTGACGCTGCTGTTGATGCTGTATTTGATGTACTTGTTGTTGTCGGTGTACCTCTAGTTGTAACTGTTGCTGTTGAAAAAGATGGCAACACTGTTCCTGTCGGCTTGGTTGATGTTGTTATATCTGCTACTGGTGGAATAATCATCGTTGTTGTCCTCCTGGTACCCCCTGTTGGCGTCATTGACGCTGCTGTCTTAATTGCTGGTGCTGTGGTTCCCCCGTCTGTTGTTATTATCGGCGTTGTTGTTATTTGCGCTAATGTTGTCATTTTGGCTGAGGCGGTGGATCTGGTTGTAGTTGTAGGTTCTATTGTAGTGGGAGCCGTGGAAGATCTTGAGAATGTATCATTTCTTGTCAACACTGTTGCTGTTGTTTGCATCGCCTCTGTTATTCCCGGGGTTGGTGTTCCTGTTTGGGTCGCAGTCGTCCAAGCTGTTTGGGTAGCCGTCGAAGCTATTGGCTTATTGGTTGATACAAGAGTCGTTGATGTGGGCATAGTAGTATGTGTCGTTGTTGATGGTGTTGAAAGTTTAGTCGTGATCGTTGCTGTTGTCCCTGGTGAAGTTGTTGTGGTAGAATATGCCTTTGTTGACGTTGTTGATGTGGGCGTAGTAGTAAGTGTCGTTGTTGTTGGTGTTGATGTGGAAGTAGTAGTAAGTGTCGTTGTTTTTGGTGTTGATGTGGAAGTAGTAGTAAGTGTCGTTGTTGTTGGTGTTGATGTGGAAGTAGTAGAAAGTGCCGTTGTTTTTGGTGTTGATGTGGGAGTAGTAGTAAGTGTCGTTTTTTTTGGTGTTGATGTGGGAGTGGTAGTAAGTGTCGTTGTTGTAGGTGTTGATGTGGAAGTGGTAGGATGTGTCGTTGTTGTCGACGTATGCGTGGCAGTAATCGTTGTTGTTATTGTCGGTGTTAATGTTGGTGTGGTAGTAATTTTTGTTGTTGCTGGTGTTGATGTTGGTGTGGTAGTAAGTGTTCTTGTTGTTGGTATTGATGTATGCGTTGTAGTAGTAGTTGTTGTTGTTGTTGTTGTCGGTGTTAATGTTGGTGTGGTACTAAGTATTGTTGTTGTCGGTGTTGCTGTTGGAATGGCCGTGTGCGTTCTTGTTGTCAGTGTTGAAGTTGGTGTGGTAGAATATGTCGTTGCTGTCGGGTTTGATATTTGTGTGGTAGTATGCTTCGTTGTTGTCGGTGTTGGCGTTGGGGTGGTGACATTTGTTTTTGTTGGCGGTGTTGACGTTGATGTGGTAGTAAATGTTGTTATTATTGGTGTTGAAGTTGGTGTGGTAGAGTGTGTTGTCAATTTTGATGTTGATATGGGCGGGGTAGCAGGTGGTGTTATCGTTGGTTTTGATGTTGACATCATTGTTGTTGGCAGTGTCGATGTTGTTAGGGTCGTCAGTTCAAGTGTTGTCATTATCTGTGTTGCTGTTTCTGTGAGTGTACCGGTACTGTTTAAAGGTGGTGAAATTGTTGTTCTGGTTGATGTTGGTCGCTGTGTCGATGTGAGCGCTGCTAATGGCGTAGTTGGCAAAGCAGGCATTGCCGTGTCTGTAACAGGAGAAGTTATCGGCGATGTAGTTGATGACGATGACTGTGTGGTAGCTGACTGCGCTGTGCTCGCAGCCCTTGTTGTTTTTGTTGTTGTTGCTGCTGAGGTGGTCGTCGTGTCGCCTTCAAGAATGGCAATATCGGCACAGTTGTAAAACGTCTCCTGAGCGCCACACCCTCGGCAATACTTCCCCGTCGCTGCATCCAATCCCCAACTATTGGCTGATATTTTAAATAAAAATAAAACATTATTAACATAAAGGTATAACATCTATTTATGCGGATTCACATACATGTACACAAAAATATACAAAAAAATAATATAGTATTGAATAACTCGAACTTGAATATGACTGCAAAACCTTACTAATGATGAATTGAAATTGGTGCAGTTTTCCATTACCTGTAACGTACTTCCATTGCAACACACAGTGGAACCCATGCACGTCGTACGGTAGTTGTAAACTATAGCTATGATACCCAGTCGTAAAGTTCACAGGTAAAGGGTGGCGTGCACTGCCATCCATAAACCGTAGCAGATGCTGGTCAAGACAAGCTTGTGTCACGGGAACAGTTTCGTTTTCCACAGGGCACACACGGAACTCGATCCATCCCCCGAGTTTGTTTGCGGTGAATTCAATTACAGTTTGTATGGTTTGCCCCTATTGTGATAAACAAAAGAGGAAACTAGACAGCTTATTATAATGTTGACACTGGCTATTGTGCCAAGTGTATATAATAAGACACGTTGACTTAAAACGAAAATACTTATTGTTTTATACTGAAATCACCAACACAGCCATTGCGTGTCTTTTGATTTCTCTAGCTGATTCTCTTTACCTCTCCGTATATACATGCACTGGAGATTGAATTGTTTTAGACAAATGTGTCCTCTCTGCCAACGAGAAAAGAGTAACATGATTACGTCATCGATTTCAGTTCCTCGCCCTACACAACACGGCTCCCACAGTTTCCTGCATATTTACCTGTGTAAAGACGGCAGTCAAGTACCCCGTGGCAAACCTGTATATTTACCTGTGTAAAGACAGCAGTCAGGTACCCCGTGACAAACCTGTATATTTACCTGTGTAAAGACGGCAGTCAGGTACCCCGTGGCAAACCTGCCCCCTGCCTCGTTATCTCTGGGGCCCTGGAAGGGGTCGCCACATACCCCACAGTGTCCGTTGTTTACCTCCCACAGGTTCTACAATAAACACATGTATATCTATGACTGTTTGTCTAGGAAACATTTTTAATAAAAAACAAACATATGAACAGGCAAAGAAAAAAAAAACAAATGTATTATACAAAGCAGATCCTTCATTATTCATTTTGTAAAAGATCTCATTAATTAATGTCCAACGCTTGACTATTTATTTATTCTATTATACTATATCAAGTATACGACTTCGGTCGATTGCTTACTTTATCGATTCTGATTATACTGGTATATGCAGGGCGTACACATCAGAGGCCCACACTGAATTCAAACATTAACACTTGGTCTAGTTTGGTAAACTGATAGGGTAAAAGGTTACACTTAAAAAAAATGTATATTGCTGGGTACGGGTCATTTAACTTTAGCTAATCCTACTCTTCATCAAATTAACAGGTAATAATAAAGGCCTTTTATCTTTTTTCCATCTCCCTTTTCTTTTTTATGTAAATTTGCATGTGAGGGTGCTTTAATATAACCCCAAGACCCCACAATACATTAAATAGTCCTTTTATAATGAAGCCCCAGGGGTAAGACACAACAGGCTCTCATCTTTGGATAACGCGATCATCGAAACTGGTTTTAGGGAAATTAAGAGGTTCTTATGTCTTAAACTAAATGATTGAATTAATAAAGATTTAAAAATACTAAATTCAGAGTATTTTCCAAAACAATGGCCCCTGAGATGCAGTGATTTGTGGTTTCACGTATATTAATCACGCACGCAAAAACAAGTCAACTTCAACATGGATGTATACCATAGCTAACCTTCAGACATGATATTTGCATGTACTGTGATTAACTTTATTATCCATTTCCGTGACGTACCATACCGCCTAAACGCCTCGGGCTACAAAGTTTTGAACGAGAGGAAAAGAACTATGAATAACAGTTGCATTTATACATGTGAGTCAGTGAAACGTGGGCAAAAGTTGGTATCTAATAATTATACTTTTGCTGAATTACTTGTTAGTCCATAGCTATTTCATTCTCATTTTAAGACATTGATTTGACTTGTTCAAGGAATTTAACCACAATCTGTTTTACGCGATATCTGCTCCTATATACGGACATAGCATAGACAAATCAACCTCAAGGTTACTATGAATATTAGGCTACAACATCAGGTCAATGACACGATGGGAGTTAATACAATATACAGGGGCGGATTTAGACCGTCTTCTGGGTCTTCCGGAAGACAGTTAGATTTTCAAGTTCACGTTAATGAGTATGTAATTTTTTCTGTTGGAAGAGGGTCAAAATGGAGGCTGGATCACCAATGATATTTTGGATGACTGTAAGAAAATATCGCTGGATCCACCCCTGAATATGACACCCAAGTCTTCCTCTGAACACACATGGAGAGTTCAGATATGGAGGTATCATGACGTAATGATGATAGATCTCCTAACACAAAAACATTGTGTTTTTACTTCTTCTTCACACCTAAGTTGACGTGACGTGACACCCTATAGGTCATTTGTTACAAGTTCTCTCCTCTTGATGCTATCAACCTTGTTTTTACTAAGATACATATCGCAGTTCATGGCCCGAGCTGATTAATAGTCATATTTCATCAAAGTTCACTTTTTTTGCATTTTTTAAAAACTTAAAAGTTGTTATCCATCGGTGCCATTCATTTTTTCTTGTCAAGTATCTGCAGTTTTAACTGTTTAATGAAAAATACCTACAATTACCTCTCAAATGTATTTTTAATTATTTTTCAGTAATAAATTTTTTCGCACAAAACTGATTTTTTTCGTGAACTGAAGATGCGAGGATGTTATTATTTTGGCCTGAAACAGGGGATTTCATAAGATATATCTTAGCATAGAATCGTTGGAAAGCAAACAGACGTTTTATACTTTATAATAATAATGATGTCATTTATGAAATGAAAAAGACTTTTTTTCTTGCCTAATAGTAGGAAAAGTCATTTACGCAGTAAGAGATATACACACTTATCTGGTATAACATGTTCCTCTTTTGTTTATGGTTACACGTTCAATCTATAAACACAGTCCATTTATACATTTCTTAATTTATTTTTTATTTGGTAAATATTAATTTGCTATTGATACAGATCTCATTTATATTTCGAGGAAAGACTTTTCAATAATTATGGTTATTTTATTGATTTCATGTTTTTATAACTCATTCTTCTGGACTTTCGTGGACCGTCATACATCTTCTCACGCGAGTGCACACATGCACACACGCACACACGCACACACGCAGCGTGTAATTAAACATACATGTACAGTATGTGAAGTACCAGTACTTACATGCCATCCACCGCAGTTCAGAGCGTGATCGTCGTAATTTCTGGGGGTGGGGAACCCAAATCTCCACGCGCTGGACCTCATAGGAGGGGAGACCAGCCGTCCGTTACCCTGCACGACGTCTACTGCGACCACTGTCCATATGGCGGCCACCAATAATACACAGTGACGTCTACTTCCCCTTTGCTTATAGTCCAAATTATTCATTTTAAACACACCCGCCGATCCCAATTGGTGCACTCTTCAGACTAAACTTATCCTCGGTTCTATTCACGTTTTCAACCTCGGCCAGTTTTGTGTCTTACTTCCTAAGACTAAGTCTTATCATGTGTTGATCGCTGTATTGTATCACACACTACTTGAACATTGTTGTCACCTGCGTTACTACACCGTGCTATGTCGACTATTGTATACTTCACTGAAACTCGTCTTCAAAAAAGACAAAAGCGGATATATTCCAAAGTATTACCAGCTGTTGTAATAGATGTAAACCATCTGAATTACGATGTAAAGAGGATGTGAGCACACAGTCATCCCTTCCCTCCTCTCCCATGACTAAATGAGCACGTATTACCAGCCCCGCCTACTCCCTGCTACCCCCTGGGCAGACCCACCCCCTGCTACCCCCGGGGCAGACATAGATAACGCCCGCCACCTGACTGCTCAAATAGGGTATATTAACTTGANATTTTGGTCAGTAATACATTGGCATTGATCTTTAGGACATGTACCAGGTGTACGGCAAAGGTTTAGACACTTTAACCAGGAGTGACGTTCACGTTTACTGTCACCAACTGGGACTGGAAAGCACACTTTGGGCTTGCGGCCTTTATCTGGCTTCTTCACTACATTGGGTTTGGTTCTTGGAGGCACCGTTGTGATTATTCCATTAGAAGCTGTGGTACCCGTTAGAAATATTTCTGCCGTAGTTGATGGCGCAGGTGAAGTATTTAGGCCTATAGCCCTTGCTGTTGTCCCTGTGGACGTACCTGTCAATGATGTGTCTTGGGCCGTGGCTGATATCCCAGTGGTTATGACAGTGGAAGAGATATCTCCGGGAATTGAAACAAAGGGCGCCACTGAGGAAGGTGTCACTGGGTTTGTTGTTGAGGAAACTATCGCCGCAGTCGTTGACGGCGTTGCATACTCGCTGCTTGCCAGTGAGAAGGGATTTGTACTTGATACAGTTGAAGCTGTCGTCGGTGTCAGTGTAACAGTACTCCATACAGATGGTGAAATTGTGGTAATTCCAGCTTCTCCAGATGTCTTTGAAGAAGTTGTAGTTGTCGACTCCGATCTCGTTTGTGAGACGCTGGTACGAGGTATATCAGGAGTTGCCGACACGAGAAGAAGATCATTTGGTGTTGCTGTTGCTGCTGGTGAAGTCCCTGCTCCTTCCTGTGTTATAACCTTTGACGTCGGCACTGCTGCGGTTATGCTCGTCCTTGTGATCTCCACCGGCGTCCATGTTGTTTGCAGTATTGCTGACATTGTTGTCTGTCCAGATGTTGCTGTCGTTGATATAATAGCTGTTGAGGTGTTTATTGTCGAATCGGTTGCTGCTTTCGTTGACGTCATCGTCGTTGAAGCAGAAGTTACTGGTAAGGATTGGGCTATAGTTGCTGGTGGCACTGCTGTTGATGTTGTACTTGATGCACTTGTTGTTGTCGGTGTACCTCTAGTTGAAACTGTTGTTGTCCTCCTACTAAACGCTGCTGGCGTCGTTGACGCTGCTGTCTTATTTGCTGATGTTGTCGTTTTCCTGTCAGTTGTTGTTTTCGATGGCAAAATTGTTGTTATCGGTGTTGTTGTTATTTGCGCTAATGTTGTCATCTTGGCTGAGGCGGTGGATCTGGTTGTAGTTGTAGATTCTATTGTAGTGGGAGCCGTGGAAGATCTTGAGAATGTATCATTTCTTGTCAACACTGTTGCTGTTGTTTGCATCGCCTCTGTTATTCCAGGGGTTGGTGTTCCTGTTTGGGTCGCAGTCGTCCAAGCTGTTTGGGTAGCCGTCGTAGCTATTGGCTTATTGATTGATACAAGAGTCGTTGATGTGGACATAGTAGTATGTGTTGTTGTTGATGGTGTTGAAAGTTTAGTCGTGATCGTTGCTGTTGTCCCTGGTGAAGTTGTTGTGGTAGAATATGCCTTTGTTGACGTTGTTGATGTGGGCGTAGTAGTAAGTGTCGTTGTTGTTGGTGTTGATGTGGAAGTAGTAGTAAGTGTCGTTGTTGTTGGTGTTGATGTGGAAGTAGTAGAAAGTGTCGTGGTTTTTGGTGCTGATGTGGGCGTAGTTGTAAGTGTCGTTTTTTTTGGTGTTGATGTGGAAGTAGTAGTAAGTGTCGTTGTTTTTGGTGTTGATGTGGAAGTAGTAGGATGTGTCGTTGTTGTTGGTGTTGATGTGGGAGAAGTAGGATGTGACGTTGTTGTTGATGTATGCGTAGTAGTAATTGTTGTTATTTTTGTCGGTGTTAATGTTGGTGTATTACTAAGTATTGTTGTTGCCGGTGTTGCTGTTGGAATGGCCGTGTGCGTTGCTGTTGTCAGTGTAGAAGTTGGTGTGGTAGAATATGTCGTTGCTGGAGGGTTTGATATTTGTGTGGTATTATGCTTCGTTGTTGTCGGTGTTGGCGTTGGGGTGGTGGCATTTATTTTTGTTGGCGGTGTTGACGTTAATGTGGTGGTAAATGTTGTTATTATTGGTGTTGAAGTTGGTGTTGTAGAGTGTGTTGTCAATTTTGATGTTGATATGGGCGGGGTAGCAGGTGGTGTTATCGTTGGTTTTGATGTTGACATCATTGTTGTTGGCAGTGTCGATGTTGTTGGGGTCGTCAGTTCAAGCGTTGTCATTATCTGTGTTGCTGTTTCTGTGAGTGTACCGGTACTGTTTAAAGGTGGTGAAATTGTTGTTCTGGTTGATGTTGGTCGCGGTGTAGATGTGAGCGCTGCTAATGGCGTAATTGGCAAAGCAGGCACTGCTGTGTCTGTAACAGGAGAAGTTACTGGCGATGTAGTTGGTGACGATAACTGTGTGGTAGCTGACTGCGCTGTGCTTGCAGCCGTTGTTGTTGTTGTTGTTGTTGTTTCTGAGGTGGTCGTAGTGTCGGCTTCAAGAATGGCAATATCGGCACAGTTGTAAAACGTCTCCTGAGCGCCACACCCTCGACAATACTTCCCCGTCGCTGCATCTAATCCCCAACTATTGGCTGATATTTCAAATAAAAATAAAACATTAAACGTAAAGGTAAAACATCTATTTATGCAGATTCACATACATGTACACAAAAATATACAAAAAAATAATATAGTATTGAATAACTCGAACTTGAATATGACTGCAAAACCTTACTAAGGATGAATTGAAATTGGTGCAGTTTTCCATTACCTGTAACGTACTTCCATTGCAACACACAGTGGAACCCATGCACGTCGTACGGTAGTTGTAAACTATAGCTGTGATACCCAGTCGTAAAGTTCACAGGTAAAGGATGACGTGCACTGCCATCCATAAACCGTAGCAGATGCTGGTCAAGACAAGCTTGTGTCACGGGAACAGTTTCGTTTTCCACAGGGCACACACGGAACTCGATCCATCCTCCGAGTTTGTTGGCGGTGTATTCAATTACGGTTTGTATGGTTTGGCCCTATTGTGATAAACAAAAGAGGAAACACGACATCATATTATATAATGTAGACACTGGCTATTGTGCCAAGTGTATATAATAAGATACGTTGACTTAAAACGAAAGTACTTGTTTTATACTGAAATTATCAACACAACTACAGCATGCCTTTTTATTTCTCGAGCGGAATCTTTTTACCACTCCGTATATGCATGTACTGGAGATCTAATTGTTTTACACAATGTGTCCTTTCTGCCAACGAGAAAAGACTAACATGATTACGTAATCGATTTCAGTTCCTCGCCCTACACAACACGGCTCCCACATTTTCCTGCATATTTACCTGTGTAAAGACGGCAGTCAGGTACCCCGTAGCGAACCTGTATATTTACCTGTGTAAAGACGGCAGTCAGGTAACCCGTGGCAAACCTGCCTCCCGCCTCGTTATCTCTGGGGCCCTGGAAGGGGTCGCCACATACCCCACAGTGTCCGTTGTTTACCTCCCACAGGTTCTACAATAAACACATGTATATCTATGACTGTTTGTATTGGAAACATTATTCATTTTGTAAAAAAAAACACCATAAAGATCTCATTAATTAATGTCCGACGCTTGACTATTTATTTATTCTATTATACTATATCAAGTATACGACTTCAGTCGATTGCTTACTTTATCGATTCTGATTATACTGGTATATGCAGGGCGTACACATCAGAGGCCCACACTGAATTCAAACATTAACACTTGGTCTAGTTTGGTAAACTGATAGGGTAAAAGGTTACACTTAAAAAAATGTATATTGCTGGCTACGGGTCACTTAACTTTAGTTAATCCTACTCTTCATCAAATTAATAGGTAAAGAACTTTTATCTTTTTTCCATCTCCCTTTTCTTTTTTATGTAAATTTGCATGTGAGGGTTCTCTATTATAACCCCAAGACCCCACAATACATTAAATAGTCCTTTTATAATGAAGCCCCAGGGGTTGGACACAACGGGCTCTCATCTTTGGATAACGCGATCTTCAAAACTGGTTTTAGGGAAGTTAAGAGGTTCTTATGTTTTAAACTAAAGGATTGAATTAATAAAGATTTAAAAATACTAAATTCAGAGTATTTTCCAAAACAATGGCCCCTGAGATGCAGTGATTTGTGGTTTCACGTATATTAATCACGCACGCAAAAACAAGTCAACTTAAACATGGATGTATACCACAGCTAGCCTTGAGACATGTAAGATATTTACATGTACTGTGATTAACTTTATTATCCATTTCCGTGACGTACCATACCGCCTAAACGCCTCGGGCTACAAAGTTTTGAACGAGAGGATAAGAACTATGAATAACAGTTGCATTTATACATGTGAGTCAGTAAAATATGCGCAAAAGTTGGCATTTGATAATTACACTTTTGCTGAATTACTAGTTAATCTATAACTGTTTCATTTTTATTTTAAGACATTGATTCGACTTGTCCTACACAAATCATACTTACACGATATCTGCTCCTATACGGGCATAGCGTAAAACTAGACAAATCAACCTCAAGGTTACTATGAATATTAGGTTACAACATCAGGTCAATGAAACGATGAGAGTTAATACAATATACAGGGGCGGATTTAGGCCGTCTTCTGGGTCTTCCGGCAGACAGTCTAATTTCATGGCGTAATGATGTAGGTCTCGTAACACAAACATATTGTGTTTTTACTTCTTCTTGCCACCTTAGTTGACGTGACAGTGTAGGACACCCTATAGGTCATTTGTTACAAGTTCTCTCCTCTTGATGCTATCAACCTTGTTTTTACTAAGATACATATCGCAGTTCATGGCCCGAGCTGATTAATAGTCATATTTCATCAAAGTTCACTTTTTTTGCATTTTAAGGTGTTATCCATCGGTGCCATTCATTTTTCTTGTGAAGCATCCGCAGTTTTAACTGTTTAATGAAACATACCTACAATTACGTCTCAAATGTATTTTTAATTATCTTTCAGTAATGAATTCTTTTCGCACAAAATGGATTTTTTTCGTGAAATGAAGATGCGATGATGTTATTATTTTGGCCTGAAACAGGGGATTTCATAAGATATATCTTAGCATAGAATCGTTGGAAAGTAAACAGACGTTTTATACTTTATAATAATAATGATGTCATTTATGAAATGAAAAAAGACTTTTTTTTTCGCCTTTAATAGCAGAAAAAGTCATTTACGCAGTTAGAGATATACACACTTATCTGGTATAACATGTTCCTCTTTTGTTTATGGTTACACGTTCAATCTATAAACACAGTCCATTTATACATTTCTTAATTTATTTTTTATTTGGTAAATATTAATTTGCTATTGATACAGATCTCATTTATATTTCGAGCGTGTAATTAAACATACATGTACAGTATGTGAAGTACCAGTACTTACATGCCATCCACCGCAGTTCAGAGCGTGATCGTCGTAATTTCTGGGGGTGGGGAACCCAAATCTCCACGCGCTGGACCTCATAGGAGGGGAGACCAGCCGTCCGTTACCCTGCACGACGTCTACTGCGACCACTGTCCATATGGCGGCCACCAATAATACACAGTGACGTCTACCTCCTCTGTGCTTATAATACAAATTATTCATTTTGAACACACCCGCCAATCCCTGCTGGTGCATTCTTCAGACAAAACTTATCCTCGGTCCTATTCACTTTTTCAACCTCGGCCAGTTTTTGTGTCTTACTTCCTAAGACTAAGTCTTATCATGTGTTGATCGCTGTGTTGTACCACACACTAGTTGAACATTGCTGTCACCTGCGTTACTACACCGTTCTGTGTCGACTATTGTATACTTCAGTGACACTCGTCTTCAAACAAGACAAAAGTGGATATATTCCAAAGTATTACCAGCTGTTGTAATAGATGTAAATCAACTGAATTACGATGTAAAGAGGATGTGAGCACACAGTCATCCCTTCCCTCCTCTCCCATGACTAAATGAGCACGTATTACCAGCCCCGCCTACTCCCTGCTACCCCCTGGGCAGACCCACCCCCTGCTACCCCCGGGGCAGACATAGATAACGCCCGCCACCTGACTGCTCAAATAGGGTATATTAACTTAATATTAACATCATTTCCTGTCGTCACATATATAGGATAAGACGTTGATCGTCATCCCTTTAATTCAATATAAAGATATAATAGACAACATCAGACGCAGTATTGCGTGCAGATACAAAATAGATAATGTAAGTTTAAACTTCGTCCTGTTTGATATTTTGAGGCTATAAATCATCAAGGTTCTGCATACCATAGATCGTGTAGATTTGTTTATATGTTGGTCACCAGAATACTTCCATTTAGTTGAAATATGTACATGCCTCGTGTTGAATAAAATAAACAAACGCTGCGCGACTAAATAATTTTTATTGAAGGATGCTCGAGTGCTAAAAATACGTCTATACGAGACTTTATTCATGGGGTTGTGCTCTACATTAAGTGACGTATTTGAATAACCTTCAGTATCCTACGCTTTTAAATGAAGCGTTTATCTTAAATAGATCAAACGGCGCCGAGAGAATCCCAGGTAATATGGGTACAATTGTAAACCAAGTTGTTTCAACATTCTTGCATTTTAGCTTGTTTGCTTGTCATCTACTCTGATTTATTTGTCCTTCGTATCCATAATAAGGCCTGCCGAACTTTCGTATTACCCACTGCACCGGTACATTTACACACTGCGGATTCCCTACATAGTTGTATTAAACATTGTTTCAAAAACTTTCAAAGTTCTTCATTTTTGCATGTAGTTATTTCATTGTTAGTTTTTTTCGGACTTAATTTCATGTCTTGCTCTCTCGCCATGTGCCTATCGTGGTTTTATATCCTCTGATGCAGTAACCTCCTTACGCCGTACCTAGCAACAATTATTTTTTACAATTTTAATTACGCTATAAAATCAACACCATATCTTTTAGTTTACAAGTACAGACCACCATAAGCCCTGGCCTAGAACAGCCTGCTGGGGATTCTGGGCAGAGTTCCCGACACCATTTGTTTGTTCCAGGTCGAGATTTCCATTTGCCTTTGGGTACGCACTCCATTTTGGCACTTTGCGTTTCTGTGGAATGCTCAGGTTTGGGTGTGTCCAGTGTTAGAGGTGGGGGCAATGGTTTAAGGCCGTCTTGGGCGTCTGGACTGCCCTGGTCGTGTGAGTTGTCTACTGGGTAATGTATTTTCTGTGGTATTGGATCAATTTCCTCGCCTGGCGTTCTTAGTTCTGTTGAGTTATAACCCCTGAACGGCTCTGCGCCGCAGAAGCACCAGTTTGACTGAGTTGCGCACAAAGAGGAGAGAGAGCAGTGGTTTCTACAGTAACCCAGTGAGTTCGTGCTGCCATACTTCGTGTAGAAGGACCTTCGTGGCCATGGATGACAATGACGGTAAAGTGACCCTTCGTTTTCAGCGCTCATGGTCTTGCACACGCAGTACCTGGTGTCGCAGACGTCAGCCGTGCACGTGTCTCTGCAATATAATATCGCGCCAAACACGCCATTGTGCTGACCCCGAGGCCGGCCGATGCAGCCACGTGATCCAGACGCTGGCAGGACGGTAGGTGATTGTTCGGAGATGGTGACGTCAGCGCAGTTGATAAAGTTTTCCTGGTTCCCACATCCGATACAGCTTTCTAAGGTCACCGGGTCCCTGCCCCAACTATTGCCTAAAATAACAACATTAATATTATAACTCTATGGAAAGCTTGCCACAGACAATGAAAAGGTGTTGGTTGATGCACTATTACATATAATACCAAATAAATGTCACCAGGCAGGCGATGGAAAGTATCATGAAGGTTACAGAATACCGTATGATGATAATCAAGCACAGTGACAAGTAAAGGTAATATTGGGCTCAAAGTAGCTTTTTAAATAACAGTTTATTCAAGCTTTGTACCTGTATTGTACATCCACTGCATAACACACTGTTTTTCACAAAACACGTACTCCGGCAATTTCAGCAAGATGTAAAAGTCGCTTTGGAAGGGGGCTGTCCTGGGGATGTGCCATCTGGTGCCCGTGCCATCAGCTAGTCTCAGCAGGTGCCTGCAGTGAAAGCAGTGCGCACGTTATCAATATTAATGTCGAAACTTAAATCCTTATGAAATGTAAGTAACTGGTGGCCACGAAGACATGATAAAGTATTCAATAGGACACTAAGAGGAATTGTACCTACTTGACTCCACGGGAAGGAACGCGTTTACATGATTTTGTGAAAGTATTGCATTATATTATATTATATTACAACAATGGACAATAGAAGTGTCACACCCTGAATCAGAGTAATCAAAGTAGTTAGATCTTGAGCAGTTATAATGCCTGGTCTACTTATAATGTGACTTAAGAGTATAAACCGCTGTACCATGGAATTGCACTGTTGGTCTTTTTGTGTAATTTGACGTTAATAAAATGATACCAGGAGCATATCATTCCACAGTCATTTATCTCCCCCAAAGTATTGGTTCAGTAGGGGTAACACTTCTATTATCCAATGTGTGTATATTATATTATATTATATTATATTATATTATATTATATTATATTATATTATATTATATTATATTATATTATATTATAAACTGTTACCAGGTAAGTTCTCATAATTCAGATGAATCCGACATGGTAACCTACCTGTCTAAACAAGCTTGTGTCACAGTCTTGTAAAAATTGTCATTTGGACAAAGACGAAATTCAAACCAGCCCCAGTGATTGGCTGTCAGTTTCACGTGGACCTTGATGACGTCACCGCGAGAGTATGCCCCGGAGATGATTGGCTGAGCATAGATTCCCGGGGGTTCGTTTTCTCTCGGTCCGTCCCAGGGGTCACCACACACTCCACATTTGCCTCCATTTTGTTCGAACTGAACCTAGGAAGAAGGAAAGGGATAGTGATATTGAGTTTCAAATTTAATCTTCCAAATTTGCTCCTATGTAACAGTTTCTTAATCATTGAAAATTATTTCATCCTTATGGCCAAAGGCGACAAAAATTAGAACAGTGGCTAGTCGGTTAATGACGGTTTGGTAAGTGGTGCGTTTTGAAAATCATAATAGTTTAACGACCTCCGCGTATATGTGGATAAACACATAATGATTATATGTCCAGTAGAAAAAGTTTGAATTGCATTTTCTTTTAGCAGAATTCAGATAATGATGACGACCATAAAAGATATAAAACTCGACCACGAACATCAAAACTGTCACATTTTGCTCCATTATCTTCAATCTAATTTACTCGAGGAAACCCGCACATAACACTGACTTTAAAAACAACCACTTTACTGAACCCTCCCGCAATTAGCCGGCTGCATTGTGTTGTTAGACGACCAGAAACATAGAATAGGTCAATTTATTCCTCTTCAAGGCCATTTCAATCTATCACATAGGCCCGGAAAGTGGACATTTATGATTAAAGTTTATGACCAAATTATCCAAAAGTGGTTTAATTTTGATTAGCGTAATTTCAATAAATATAGATTTTGTTCATTTTATTGTTCCGCAAGCCGTTACTATCTTCCCCTGGTTTTACTTGGATTTCGACCAACTTCAAGAATGCCATTTTTTGTTTTTATATAAAAAATATTACAAAGAAAGAGACATATGTAGTGCCTTAATGTTTTTACCCCTAATATCAAAATATTTAGTTTAATTTTAATATTGAGGTTTAGTCTCGAATCTGACATTGAAAATGCTTTATTTTCTACCTTTGCAAGTATAGTCAAGGAAAACCTGCCAGTAAAGCAGATTACACAATTGGTCACATTAACGTTATGCTAAATGTTACTTTATGTCAGCATGCGTAGCGCATGGAGTCACTGAAATTACCTAAAAAATAATAGAATATAAAATGCACGTACAGAAATTCAACCGATGCCTAGGTTTATTTCAATTTAACAAGAACTCCTTGTCCGCTGAATGGAGGGAAAATAAATGCGCGTGGCAAAGTAAAACATGCTCGGAATTTTACCTCACCCTTACAATGATATCCCATGATATCTAGGCGTCTTAACGGACCATTGCCAAGTTTTCAAGTATCTAAATTCTATTATGTAACGTTTTAAATTAATATTGATTTGAAATGGCGCATTTTTTTATTTTATTTTTTTTTTTTATTGTTTTTTGCGCCATTGAATTTTTAAGAAAAAAATACCTACAGAAGATAAAATGCAATAACAGCTAGATTATTTCTAAAACAATGATACTTATAAAAGATGCAAAATGATTTCACACGAAAGAAATTAGTTGATATTTACCTGAAATCCTCCACAAAACAGCTGATTATCGTTATAATTTGTTTGCACGTCCCGCCGAAATCGCCACAGGCTGGACCTTTGTGGGGGGTCCAGCAACATCCCGTGTCCTCTTACTGTGTGCAGGAGGTCGTTAAGAACCACCAACAATATCACCATCACTGTAGATTTCATTCGCAAATATTGTAGCTGCATTGTTGTTTGATTACGGTTTCGTTCTGTAAGTTTTTTTTAGGATTGGCTTCTGTCAAGAAATGTCCTCTATATGATATTTAATTACCACGATCCAGGTACATAATAGATGAGCTACGATACTTAACAAAAGGTCTTTTAAAAATTCGGCATCAGGGATCTTTTATACTTGATGCGTCCATTACTTTTTTCGGTGAACCATTTGTTGGGATTTCCGCTGGGATGAACTCCAACATCAACTTAGTTCGAAGTCATAAATGAACAATAGAAGTGTGACTTAAAAACCAGGTTCGCTTCCGCCATTTTTCATCCGTTAATGATGTGTTTTCCCATTTCCCGGACAGTTTTTTTCACGATTTGCACCATCACATAGGTTGTGTACGTTCAGAAGTGTGCTTGTCATGCTGAACTTATTGACAAGACACCTGGGGCGCTGTGATCGCTGCCAGGAGAGTCACGTGACGTGTGTCACATCCTCTGCTTACAGTTAAAGCGGTTTTTAACAACCCGTATGACATCATTCGCAAAGCTTTGATGTCTAATTTTCACTGCTTTTATCTTGTTGCCAAATTTTGATGAAATGAGACCATCATCCAACGCTTGTCAAATATGAATGTCATTGTTCACATTCATTGGATCTGATTCATAAAATGCGACAAAAGCGTTGGATATTGATGCACTCTAGCTTGGAGGCGACACAGTAGTGGTCCCCTCTTTATGACTGGGTATTATTTACTGATATGTACACTATATTGAAGGTATAATCAGCCACCAAGCTTTAAAAAAACATGAGCTCATAGTTCCCGGTAGTGAGTTTGGTTGAACCACACTGTGTCGGTTTGGTGATTCAGATATGGCTCTTGTTATGAGAGGAAGATCAACAGAAAAGAGACAGTTAAATGTGAGGGTGACAGCATCCCTGACATGCCTGACCTAAAGTGTGGAAAAGGTTTGTAAATATTACATCAAGTCATTGCTGTCTTTTGTGAAAACTGTCCACGATCACGGACGATATTTATATCTTCAGCTGTATTAGTCATCGTTATTCCTCAAATTAATTATGTGGAATAAAAATTTTAATCGATACGTTTTATGACCCCCTGCTAATTTTAGCGCCAGTAAAAAGATTACTGTCTAATCAAGAACGGTGGACTGTGTCGAGGCATGTGGGAGTTTTATTTGTAGGTACATATATCCTCATATGCAAGCATGTACATGTATTTTTGATATACGTAATATTATTATTCTTCAAGAAAAGTTGATATAGAGTTAATAATAGTTTTTTTAATAATTTCGCGCTTTTAATTATGATTCGTGTCTTGAATATGTGATCGTCACTCAGACGCCATTTGGCTGTAAACCAGTGAAACAATTTTTTTAAAATTACATTTTTTGATAAAGCTTTTTTTTTATTTTAATCACATCAATTGCAATGAATTCACCATAACAAAAACTTTGTCAATTTGGTCGTGTTCACTGGTCCACCACACCGCACACTACACTGTGCCTTCTACAAAACCCCGCCACAAATGGTCATGTAGGACCTCACGCTTTCGCAGCAGGTGAAAACCTCTTAACTGTTTTTATGGTGCGACGAGAAACGCAGTATTGTCACAGGTGGAGTTAATGTCTTACTTAATGTCGGTACCATATGTGACCCGTGTTCAAGTCTGGTTAGTTGACTTAACATCTTTCTTACAAAAAGGTCGTTCAGAGTTAATTTTAAAAGTCATGACATGATTTGAGACAGGTGAAAACTGAAGTGATTTACGAACCCCTTCAAACCATATCTGGCCCTTGGTATTAAACAAATGTAGATTGGTTTCTTGTCTAGAACATTTGATTTATTTACATGTACCCAGTTAATGTTAAACATTGCTTAAAAATACGATGCGCTTTTAACATTAATAAAGCAAAAAAAAATCCAGCAATTTCCCTTTAATAGACAAGGTAATCTTATCAATATTTCGGTGGAAATTCTTATCTACAAACCTGTTTCTCGAGTTTTGAATTTTTCTTTTTACCGTTATGAGTGATATTTACTATTTCCCATTTTCCATTTCGAGAGTGGCTGGAAATTCAGAAGTTTTAGATTCAAAATTGGTGTGATCATTCACCTGGCCTGTATTATGGAATAGTAAAGTGTACTCGTGGGATTATGCACAATGTTTTAAATAAGTGAATCATTTCTTTGCACCTTTTGAAAAAGTGCAAAAATCACGTCGCCAGTCTTGGATCTTCTGGAGCTGCAGGCTTTTATCAGTTTCTATGGTAACGTGACCACTTCCCGTTTCCACATCGAGGCTAACTTTGACCAGCACACTATAAAGCCTGTAATGATGTACAGTATGGGCCTGTGTATACAGGACACACTAAATCTGCATCTATTTCCTAAATACCGTCTCTGGGCCATTGCGCTACGTGTGACATCTTTCACAACTAACGCAATCAAGAAACAAAACGTTTCATCCCTATGTTGGATATCGAAAAATTCGACTTTTCCTGGCATAATTACATGAAGTGACCCATTCTCAAGACTTATTAAGCTATCCGAAACCTCAGCAGAAATCACAGATAAGAATGCAGCGTGAAATACTCGGAGACACTTTGAAGAACTAACTACATGATTCAATAAGTACTTATTTAGGATCATACAAGACTGGCGAAATGTTCGTGACAACCTGTTTTGAATTGACGTGTTTTTTCTCGGGGGCACTTCTCAATGCTGACAGAAATGGTGACCGTTTTCCTGCTGCCAGTGCCTTAAAATGTGTTAAGACAGTAATGGGTGTCTAAGTTCTTGCACCTGAGACGTCAACCCTGAAAGCTGCAGGTGCGCAAATTGAAAAGTGCTATCTACTTCTGTAGCGTTATAGTGAAAAAGTGTGTTGTTTCATTTCTTTTCAACTTTCGTCTAGAATGTGCTGTAAATCAAAATAAGTTCTGTGATAATGAATGCTACAATGTACGGTTTTTCTCCAGTGTGCAACTGATAAAAACATATTTTGATTGGTATAAACCTTTTAGTAGCAAAGTGTAATGTAACCTTTAAATCGTAAATCCATTATTACTTTCAAGATCGGGAGCCAGTATTTTATATGGGTATAACAAGACTTGCTGTTACGGTCCTTTGCCTGACTTCTGCGAGTTGGTTTTCTTCTCTTGTATCCGATTCTCCATTTCGCGATAGTATAAAGGTATCACATTCCCTCCTGGCTACAATTCCTTGGCACGCACATTTCTATTCTATGTTAATTACAGCAACCAGCTCCCGCCTATGCACCGACATTGTACAACATAAACGGCTGAGGGCCCCTGAGCCCTGGCTGAACGTCAAATATCTATCAATCATGAACACATTATCATGAACACCAACATCAATTCCTGGAAGCTGAAGAGACATCCTGATATATATAGAGAGAGAGGAGGTTTATATTCCTAGTAATATCTGACAAACATGGTGCTAATTAAACCTAATTCAGGATCGGATATATCTGCAAACATACTCCAGACTGAATCCAGCTTGGGACTGACGTGCTAAAAAAAAGGGGGCCGAGACCCCCGTCTCTTCATTCTATTCCCATGTATGCAAGCTATTGCTAAAAGTCAGGCTTTAAATGTTTAATACAGGTGCAATGCGCCGTGATAACCTACGTGCATCTTTTATACACAAATGACAAACGGTTCATGTATTCTTATATAAGCTCCAAGCCTGCTCCGCTGTAGGGCAAAGTTTAACACACCTGAACGCATGATGTCGCACCAGTGACGTCAGTATTGATTTTCCTCATATCTGCAGGTAATTCACGGAACGCGGTAGTTAATTGTACGGTGAACAGGCGTATAGTCACTAACTGTATGTGCAGCGTTGTTATCTACATTAACTACAAATATTGTTTGATTTCATAGAACGCGCTGTGATATAACTGCCTATCAATGATCAAATGTTGCCTTTGGGACACTTTGAAGGTATTAATCCCATTGCCTGTAGACAAACACGGTTAGGAGGATTAACTAGGACCTCTATCTGTATTCACGTGATAATCAGGGTGACAGCAGATTTAACCAACTTTTGACCAACATCATGTGAATATATTTTGGTTTGTCTGTGACCCGAATAAGGTAAGTTAATATAATAGTTGATATGACTATCATATGTTAACGTCAACTGCTCGGAGTGTTTCCATTATTTTCTCTTTGTCTCGTAGGGCGTCTTTGCTACCTGTACATCTTCCACCACATTATACAATCTTAAATGTCAAGGAGTGGCACACGTGAAGGATCGCCGCGTTCGTAAGTGTAAAATTGACCCAATGTTAAATCGTGCTGATAATAAGAGTTAGTATAGTCGGTACATTGTAATACAGTGCGCTGTTTATTTAAGTTTCTTTATAAATCAGAGCATTCACACTGTATACACAGTTAATCTTTAGTTATTACGACATTCCGGTGTTAACCTTAATACACAGTGTAGACAGCAGAAGACACATGTACAACACGACGCGTTCATCAAACCTAAAATCGACTATCACAGCTGCAGGTTGCAGTTGACAAAGCTAGGGCTGAGAGATAAGACTGAAATGCTATTTCAGGAACACACACCAGCTTTATCTACTGTGGGCTGCTATAGCGATTGGAATTGACCCCGCCATATCACAAAACGTTTATGTTCGTATGAGATTGCAAGAGAGTCAATTTAGACTTATTCCATTTATTTCATACGTAACAAGGTAAACTATTCATGAAAGTATTGCCTGCAATATGCCGTGACCGACATAAAGACAATCACCACATCAAAAGCAGCCCAGTTTATTCACTAAGTCAATGTTTCATATTTGATGTTATATCGAGTGTTAACATCATCGTTATAATCATATTCACTCTTAGTCGGGATGGTCTCTGACTGAGAAGAGTTTTCTCCATATCACAGCTAAGTCTGCACAGCTCCAGCAAGAGACCGGTAGTATTGCTAAGAAATAGAACAGGAGAGGAAAAAATCACCTTAAGTCCGTTTAACCTGATTGGTTAAGTATATGAGCGTGAATATTAGGTCTTAATTGCCATAGTACATGTACTCCTTCCATTTTTAACGTATTGCAAAATAACATCAGGCCTGTGAATAGAAACCTGAGTCAACGTAAAGAAAGAGCGACATAATAAGGCCTCATTTCTTTTGAAAAATACATTTACTCAGGAACAATGCTACATTTGCTAAAGCGCTGAGGTAGAAAATGCAGCGCACAGTTCAGGTAAGGTAAGTGTCAACAGAGATGTGAAGATTGGATTGGAAGACTGTATTTTTATATTAACTTTACCACTACGCGGTCTGCATACTAACCGTAGTCTAAGTCGGTCAGGGTGAGGTGAGTGCGGCTTCAGTTTAGTTCACCTCTGAGTTTGCTATTAATCAGGATATACGATGTCTAGATTTAAGCTAATAGGCTAGACAATAGCTTAATCCTCTTATTAAAAAATGTACAATTTAAGAAAACAATTGTGCAAATTGCTATGTGATATTTCACTGTTAATTGTAACTTCTAAATCTTTAGCCAGAAAACTGGTGTATGGAAGGCGAATCATTATGATTCATATAATATGGAAGTGTTTCCTCGTAGGACTGTGGTTTCGCTTTATCAACCTTTCCTTCTTTAGCGGTACTATTCTTAAGGACAAGCATGTGCAGACAAGGACGACTTTGGACCGGAATTTTGGGCTTACATTTACATTTACACTGGATAGTCTGATAAAAATAAAAGACTCACACTGGGTCGTCCATCAAATCAGTTTGGCCGTCGTTACGGTTTTTAGTCTAGGGTGGTGCTCGTCTTGAGAGAACTGAGGAGAAAATTAGAGACATGGCTTGGTTGTGGCTGAATCTCGCTATATCTCGCTTGTTTTTGCTGCGCTCCACACACCTTCAATGTTTCAAATATTAGGTGATACTGCCTGCAGAGAAAGGAAATAAATAATTGCCAATATCAAAGTCAACGTTGCCCCCCAAAAAATGTGCGCCAAGATTTACACCTATCATTTGCGTCCGTAGTTGATAAAGTTAATAAACTGTCAATTTAACTGTCAAATGTGCAGTGTAATATCTTCAGACACCGACCTCTGTACAGGAATAGAGATAACACTGACTCATAAAATCAAACACTGGTAAATCGATTTAATCGTCCGTTGACTATAACTAGACCCTAGCTGTACTATTTTAAGTCTCCATCAAAACACTACAATATAAATATAATTAAAAGCTAAAAAAAAACAGGTTCAAGTCCCTGCCAGCGGTTTAGAGTAATCATTTATTGAGGAAGAGATGACTTAGTTTTTTATGCATAGAAGAGGCAAACTACTTACAGGGAAGAATGGGTTTCTCCGCTAGTTGAGGCGTGAAACACAATCTACGTGTAGAGTTTGCATGAATGGCACTGGGAGAAAAAAAAACGGCCTCTCTCTTAATGAAGGAGAAAGGTGTGACGAATGTCAGTTGTCTGTGGACTAGACTTACAGTGGGCGGACAGACATGCTTTAAACAGTTAACGCTATGTGAAAATCGTTAGGATCTGGTAAGAGCAAGAACAGCGATCGTCATATGGACCCCGCTTACCAACCACCTGGACTGCTGTGTTTATAAAAAGGTCTAGTTGTGAGGGTTGAGGATTGGACAGCTGACACGTGAATATTTAGGGATCAGTGGCTGATTTAGAGAGGAGGGTCAGGGGGATCCTTACCACCCCCCACCCCCCCCCTTCGATTTCTGGTCCCCTCTTGAAATTAACATTTTGACTAGCTGAATCATACGGTAGTTGTAACCCCTACTGATTGGCACCGCTCGCCCTCTAAAGTACCAAAATTTTTCGGGGCCCTCCAGCGGTCCCGAACCACACGCCAAGTGTAGGGAGGGGGGAGGGGGGAGGGGGAGGATCGGCTTCGCATCCGCAGACCTCCTTCAAATAATTCTGGGTCCGTCCATGGAGTTGTTATACCCAGGGTGTTCACAGCTTACCGCACGCCTGCTAGCCCTGGCCCGCAGGTCATAGGTGAACACAGTTTATATTATCTCTAGTCTAAATTGTAAGGGAACATTCACAAGTTATTGACTTGCTTTGTTCTTTATTGATGCAGTGTTTATTTGCAACAACTGTTACAATCATTATTATTTCACAGAGTTTCCATACAATTAATTCTCAATGTTTGCATTTTGATCGTTATTCTTTTCACAAGAATTGCGTGAACTCGTGAGGTTAAATCTACCAAATATAACGTTGATCAATCGTCGACACACAAGTAACACAACTAATATAAGACCATTCCCAGACCCTATCGTACTAACTTTGGAACGAACTATCTCCAAGGGGATTCTCGTTTAATGTGCAATTAACTTACGCGGCTTAGATATCTGTCACGCCTACTGTAAAGCTGATAGGGGTAAAAAAATAGGGGTAATAAACTAGCAGCTTTAGCAGGCGTGTTAGAGATCTAAGCCACTTAAGCTAAATGCAATTTAGCAAGAAACCCCGTGGAGATGGACCGATCTTGTCAGATCGATCTAGGGATGTGAACCAAGTCTATGAGAGCTATGAACAGAACTCTCCACTATAGTCCAAGAATTTGGTGCAGAAAAAAGGGTGAATGGTGCATTTTTTTACCTACAAGCATGAAATTTGGCACAGTGGTAGAGAATGAAATTCTAAGCAATTTTGGATATATGGGCATGTCTGGAAATTCCAATATGGCCGCCAAATCCAATATGGCCGCCACAAATACTCTTTTCAATGAAAACCTCTAATATATAGTCCTATAATGGTTTAAAATATCATTTTATTGCTGGAAAATATCATGCTATGAATGAATTATCAATACCCGCTTCTACATGTGTATAGAATTCCAAAATGGCCTCCAAAAGTAAAATAAGCAGTCTACTTACTCAAAATATGCAGTAGTTTTGTGAAATCATCAAGCACTTACAATTACAAGCATAAAAAAAATTGGCACAGTTGTGGAGAACATGATTCTAAGCAACATTGGATATAGGGGCATGTCTGAAAATTCCAATATGGCAGTCAATTTCAATATGGCCCCCAAAATACCCTTTCAAGGTTAAAGTTATTTGTATAGTCTTTGATGAAAATATCATCTAATGGTTAGAAAATACCATAGTATGTATGTAGCATCAGTATCTGCCATTTTAGGTTTTAAAATTCCAAAATGGCCTCCAAAAGTCAGTGGGCCACAGGTATTGAATTGTAATCACTCGTGAAAAGGCACGTGGGCTTTGCAACTACCTGTATAATCAGCATATTCCTACTTGTGCAGGAGCTATTCTACAGAGTTTGTAAAAAAGCATCAAGCATGATACATTTATTATGTCCTGAAAACAGTCCTTCTTTTGCTAAACCAAAATAAGTAGTTTGACTTTTTGCTCTGGATTCTCATTTAGACCAATTCCCAGTTAGCAATCTACTTATATGGCACTCATGGGTGACTCCCCCTTTCTAAGAAAAAAAAGTATCGTGCAAAATCCATAAAATGTGAAAGAAACACAAAAATAACTTAGCCCCAAAGAGGCAAATATAAAAAAAGCTTGGGGTGTACCAATTTTTTCTGTTGGTTATGATTCTTCAGCTAGCTCAGTGCATGGCGCTTCATCAAATGCTCACAAATATAACAAAAATGACAGCTAATCAAACATACAGGTCTCAACAATTTGGTGTAGTGCATTCATAAAGTACTAAAAGCAGGGGCACATTTGAACTCGGTAATCTTATGATGTTATCTTGTGCTTCAAAAGTAAATTAGAAAAGCTTCAAATTTCAAGAAATGGATTTAGTACATTTGCAGTAATGGTTACCTAGAATTTAGTGAAAATTTACGAGCAAAGAAATAAACAGAGGGCAGGTGTTGATACGTGCTGTATCCAAGAGTTGCATTGCAGCCTTCAAACTTCGTGCACTAAAAAGAAGTACTGGTAGACGCCAAACTTTGGTTTTCATTTGATCATTCGGCAACTTGTTTAGTTATAAACTTATACTTTCAAATAAATGAACATGATAATATGGAATTAAAATGCTTCAGAAAGTTAATACATATAAAGCTTCAAAAATTCAGGGTGTATTCTGAGAATT